AGACAAACGCCAGTCGAGTGGAGCCGTGTCATCATCACGATATCAACAACAAAATGAGTCACGTGCCAACGATTGAAGAGCCAGCCTTATGGCAACCCTGACCATCTGAATTAACTTGAGGATCGATGATATGGGTTGCATATTTGGTCAGTGCTGTCCAGGGCCGACAGAGGCGTTACACACTGAGGACGCCTACCTTCAGTTGCAAAACGCGTAGAAGTGTCGCATTTCATTTTATCTTCTTTCTCTCCCTCAATCTCTCTCTCTCTTTCTCTTTCTCTCTCTCTCTCTCTCTCTCTCTATATATATATATATATATATATATATATATATATATATATATATATATATATGCTTGTGCGTGTGTACATTGCCTACATCGGTAGCCAAGCCATGAATCGTACATGTTCCATTTGAACTCTATTTCCTACCATGTAGTCCACATGACCTAGTAATTAATTTTTTCTGTTGAATATCATGCCGATTCTCTGTAAGGATTCGACAGAACCAATGATTATGTATATATAATCATGGGATCCATACCTTTGATAAGGTATCCGTCTAGGAGAAGAAAGAATCTGATGTAACACTTGCTTCAGCGTTAATGCGTATATCTCGCATGTACTTATCTATGGGATTCTTAGCACTGTTGTGAGTCGTTGTTGTAACAAGTTGTATACGATTATAATCTCATCACGGGCTTTCTGACATCGATAACATTTATCAGGTCATCCCATAAGTCCTGTTCGAAATATTATATATGTAATTTCAATCAAATTTTACAGTATTCTAGAATGTCAAATGATACTGATTGATAATGATATCAATTTAGAAACCTTTAACTTAATATAATTGCTTTGCACAGAATAATTTGACTGATTAAATTACTCAAATTAGCCCCTCAAAAATGGAGGTGTCGAAGAAGCATTTAAGGCACATAATGCTTTATGAATTTAAAAAAGGGAAGTCTGTAGCCGAAGCGATTCAAAATATTCACTCGGCTTATGGAGAAGAATACCTGAATGAAAGAACTTGCAGAAGATTGTTTGCCAAATTCATAAGCGGAAATTTCACCCTTGAAGATGAACACCGAACAAGACGTCCACTTGGGAAGAAAATCCTGCAGTACCAGTTGAAGAATTGGCAATGAGGTTTCCTCCAAACCATACAACTGTTCATCTTTATCTTCAACAACTTGGAAAGGTTCTTAAACTTGGAAAATGGGCACCTCATGAATTGTCTGAAGTCAACCGCAAATCCCGAGCTGACATCTGCTCTTCTCTTCATTCACGTGAACTCAACTCGACCTATTTGGATAGTCTTGTGACTCGTGATAAAAAATGGAATGTTATTAAAAGTCGTAGACAGTGTGTTGGTAATAAGGAAAAGGCCCAAACACAACCAAGAAGGGAACTCCATGCGCAGAATTTTTTTCTCTCAATTTGGTGGGTTTCAGAGGAATAATTCACTTTGAGTTGCTACCAATTAATTCACCAATAAATACTCAAGTCTACTGTCAGAAATTAGAACGTTTGAACGCGGCTTTAAAGAAGAAAGACCTGTTTTAGGGAATCGAAAAGGAGTGGTATTTCATCAGGAAAATGCATGGCCTCACACTGCAAAAATCACATCCCAGAAGATTGAAGAACTTGGTTGGGAAAGAATTCCTCATCCACCTTATTCTCCAGACCTTGTTCCTTCAGACTGCCATTTGTTCCGTAGTTTACATAATCATTTGGATGGATTAACTCTCAAAGCCGTGAGGAAGTCAAAACTGACATTTCAGAGTTCTTCTCTTCGAAACCGAAAGAGTTCTTGATTAATGAGATTAAAAATCTTGTAAACAGGTGGAAGGAAGCCATAGATAATCATGGAAACTACATTGATGAATAAATTTCAATAAAATGTAAGATTTAATCACTCGTTCTTTATTATTTAAAATCCGGATAGAATTTATGGGATGACCTGATATGTGTGGGTGGTGTAATGGTTAACGACTCGAAACCAGCGTGTTGACTACTAATTGCAGTTGTTCGATAAATTCACTTTTGAACAAATACACATGGGAAAAGTATGAATCCATCTCTTCTTTCTAACTATAGGTTAAATAGTAGGGCCAACTGGGCTCTTCGGCCTTGCTTGGTAACCTGTGTAGAAGAAGGAAAACTCTGAATTTCCAAACCTGGGTATATGGATAACTTGTCAGCAATTCCAATGACAGACAGCATATATATATATATATATATATATATATATATATATATATATATATATATGATGCCTGTCAAATCGTTAAACAATTATGACTATTGCTATATATATATATATATATATATATATATATATATATATATGCATCATAATTATATATATATTGAAAAATACGTATATATGTGTGTGTGCGAAAAAACGCTATTGAAAAAGAAAAGACTAAAGGAAAACCTTTTATGTCAACGCATTTTGTTTCTTGCCTTTATAAAGTTCTTCAAGGAATGCAACGCATCCACATAAAAGTTTTTCCTGGTGTGTTTTATTTAATTAATATACATACATTTTCAATATGAAACCGTACTTCTCTATTATAACACTACCATATTAATAACTATTACATGCCTTACCATTCATTTAATACTTGGATAGTCTGAAAAAGTCATACTGGTATACTCCTTTCACAGCGTTTCGGCTAATTTACTCTCATGTCTTACCTTTATTGGAATTTTAAAAGAAGCTGTTTATTCAGTCTAGTAGAACTGATTCTTCTCATTTTGCTTTCAATGATTAGGGAAGATAACTCGCATCAGTTAATGCTGAATGCCTTATTCAACACTGTGTCGTTTGTTGGTTTCTTCCACTGAACTAGTCTATCTGACTTTTCAGCACTACCCGGAGATTGAACTGCCTGGGAATCAGATATTACTTATCCATAATTGTATCCCGTTTTAATATTTTTAACATGATTTTTAATTTTGAATAAATGAAATGACATGAATAAAGTAATGACATATTTTTTATTCTACGGTCAGCGGAGAGTAATATGTCAAGCAGATGTTTAGGTGTAATTCTAGTACTCGTACACCAATCATCGTAGTATTAAACGGAAAGTTAGTTTTTGGTTAGGTTTATTTTTTAAGACAAAATGTGAGCCTTGCATGTCGAAAATTGCGACTTGTAAAATAAGAGAGAAAAAAAGGAGAAAAAGAGAAAACACGCTTAGTAAAACAATGAAGAAAGTAAAGAAAAATTAAGGGGAAACAAATAATGAATGATAGTAAAAATTCAATGAAACAATCCAGAAAGAGAAAGAGTGAGAAATGGAAGGGTAGCAAAGGAGAAGATGAATGAAACAAAGAAACGAAGAGGGAATAGTAAGGAAGAGAAAGATATAAGCAAAAGTTTATACTAACAAAATTATAAAACTAATTGAAAGCATAAGAAAGGAAAGCATGTATTTTACGTTGTAAATCACTTAGTCTCTTTTAATTGGTGACCCCTGAACATAGTGTATAAAGTGACGTATATCGGATCAATAAATAAATAAGTAATAATAAATAAATAAGAAAGATGCATTGTCATCAGAGTTGTTTCGATTTAAAAGCCCACTGCAGATCAGTGCAATTTTTCATCTTCAGCATAGCTGCTCGATTCCAAGCACGCCCATTAAGTTTCATTAATGTTTCTTCGACACTCACAGAGCCAACCTGTTGTTTATACTGCAATTGCGCTGAGCAGAATTTATTTACAGTACAAATATGCGCCCCTCCAGGGCCATATACGATTTTGAATTCAGAGTAATCTTTCTCCTAGACTAGTTGCCAACTGCGTCTAGAGAGTCCAGTCTGCCGTTATTTAACCTATAGCTGGGGTAAGAATAAATGACTTCATAACTTTTCCGGGGGTATTTGTGCGAACGTGACTGTAATGATTTCGACTGGATTTCGAACTCGACAAGCTCATTTCTCATTCTGACTCTCTAACCGTTGTGTCACCTGCACATAAGCAAAGTTTTTTGTTGTTTGGGGTTTGTTTGTTTTTTAAGAAATGAAGAGAATTAGAATTTATGCTTTCCACCTATCCGTACTTATTTTTGGCCATAATTTCATCAAATAAAGCGACCTGCTAATTCCGGTGGCCCAAACCGAAACTTTGGCAAAATGTACATTGAATAAAACACTTCATTATAGTTTTTTACCCATACTGTATATATTGTTATTCCGTTCTGTGTATCTTAATCTGATTCTAAGCGAACAGCGGAAAAAGTGTGCTGAAATATTCGAGTTATCATCACCGAAGACCAAAGCATCCTTAAAAATAAAACAAAAACGAAGTAGAGAAATAGTCTTTTTCATTGTAGCCAAAATGTAGCTTAAAGAGAGAGCAACAATTCATTTTGACTAATCTTTTCTTTTCAGAGTCCAAATCTTTGCTATAACAGGTATTAAAAATCCTTGCGTTTTCTTTTGTCTATGCAAGCAACACGTCAGCACCTGTTCGCCAGTGTCATAAAGACAAAATCCTGTCCCAATATGAGTTCGTTGCAGAACGTCAGTCTTCATGTTCTAGCTACTACTACACACTCATTGTTCTGTTGTTCTCAGTGTAGGACCCGCGAATTATTTCGATGGAAAGCTTAAAAAATCATTAAATATAGGATGGTTGTCAATGTTTACTGTGTGAATCATATATCTGAGAAAGGCCGAAGACCTCATTGCCCCAAATTTTGTCATAAACAAAAAGATAACGATATTCTCTCAATTCAAACGTAAAATATACGGTAGAAAACGACGCCCTACAATGTAAACTGAATTCAAAAAATTGAGTTCTGCAAGCAGGCAAATATGGAGACAAACTCAAAAGACTATGTTAGAAATAGGACCATATTCGTCTACGACATCACGCCAATAGCTTTAAGAAACGGAACACTCAGAAAGAGAAATTAGTAGAATAGAGTCGGATACAAGAAGAAGGGGAGGAGAGAAAATGCAATACGGAAAGGAAGATGATTAAGCGTTAAAATGAGAAAAATGTGATGGCGAAAGAATAAACGAGAACAGGAAAAAGAGAAAAAACAACAAAGTACAAGAGGGAGGGATATTACTTAATAAAGTTATAGGAGCGGGGAGTATGATGATCAGGGTGAAGTGATTCGGAGGAAAAGAGAAGAAATGTCACGTGATTGAGTATCTTGGCAAATTGAGTCGCTATTAATTATGGTGAAGTGGTTGGGTAGTTACTTGGTCTGTAGTTGGAAGGTGGATCAGTAATAGAATCACTGGCAGATAATCATAATCATAAAAACATAATAATAATAATAATAATAATAATAACGAGCTGGAATCGAATGAGAAATAAGGAAAGAGTGAATGTGAAATGAGAGCAAGATGGCCGCCGTCGGCGTCCGTCACATTGACGGGAAATGAAAGTGAGGCTGAGAAGGAGATAAAAAGAGAAGAGGAAAGGGGCAGAGGAAGTGGAAGAAGGTTAAGGGTGAGTTGAAGATAAAAATGGCTGACGGATGAACAGAATGACAAATACCTGACGAGTCTGCCAGGAAAATATTCAAAGAGGTTGGGAGGTACTATACATACATACTGGCAAGCGAACAAGTGCACACATACACACAAGTGTGTGTGCACGCACACACTCTAGAATAGACAAACATGTAACGTAAACTCTTGTACAAAAATACACACAAATGGACGTCAGCCATAGAACTATGGATCGTAAAACTAGTTCCCATTTAATGAGTCTGGTTTTGACTATATACTCAAACATTGTCATATATATGTATATATATATATATATTATTATTATTATTATTATTATTATTATTATATATTACATATAATACATTACATAGAAATTACGTGAACATATATGTCCGTAGGCTATTGATGAAAAAAAAAAGCATTTAGCTTAAACAAATATTATTTTCATATATCGGACATTACACAGTGAAAATTTCAAATGAAAATTCAACTAATAACGAAGTATGAGTCTACAGTCATACTGATGCATTATATATATATATATATATATATATATATATATATATATATATAATATATATAAATGCGTTAAAGCTCAAATATGGATCGGAATTCGACAGGATGATAAAATAAAGAACAAATAGGAAACGTATATGAATCGAACATGTTTCACTTTTATTAAACCTTCACAAGAGAAGTCATTAAACTCCTACTAGACACGTACACATACACAATTACGAACACACATTACCATCCGATGCTCTTAGACATACAAAAATTTTCACATACACATCTACGGTTTTAATGTACGTGACACGTGTCTGACCAATGAAAACTGACGCAAGCAAAATTAAAAATACCAGTTTTTTTTTTTTTTTTTTTTTTAATTTTTTATCTGTTTTCTCTCAATCTCTGACGAAGCTTAAAATAAAGCTTGGGAGGCGATCCCAGTGTGCGGCACCTTTGGACATCGGCTGAAAACGATATAATGTGTTGACCTTAGCTTTGTGAGTGGAATTGAGTAGACGGAATTCTTAGGGTGTTGTCGATGTTTGTGCTAGTACGAATTTACAAGTCAGCGTGACAGAGCTTTTGAGCGTACTGGTCTTGTTCAGATTGTTAATCACTCCAGATAAACTGTTTATCTCTCAGAAACTGTAACTATGTTACAGTATAAATCACAAATGACCTCTTTGAGTGCTGAACAAACACAAATGTGCCTGAGCAGACATCTACAATAAGGAATACCTAATCGCTCTAATAGAGAGAAATATACTCGGATACGAGCGCCCAGCCATTATATATATGTATCAAAAATACTTTTGCAAAATTTGTGATTAGGTTCCTCACATCAAAACAAGGACAAAAGTTAATATAAACATATGTCGACAAATCCTTCGTTTTTTAGTTATTAAGTTTAAAGTAAGTTTACGGTAGATGGCGCTGTTGCCACGTGGACTAGGCTACATTTGTAATTCGTGTACATTTGTGGCTAGTCTGTCAATGTTTAATGCCTGTATTAGTGAGCTGAGAAGTGTTCCGTTTAACAATAGCAGAATATTCATATCGTGAGCAGGCAGATACATACGGCAGCGTGAATGGTAATGGACGCGAGGCTGCACGGCTTCATCAGATTGCGTTTCCCGACCCAAGGCAGCCGAGTCATCCAACCTTTGCTGCTATTTATCGTCACGTTGCATTTCTCCATCTAAACGAAACGTCGACAGTGCCCTTTTTACTCATAGATCGCGGAGGAGACTTGGTACTTAAAATTACTCTCTGGTAAGATGATACCACACACAACGAAAACTAGACGAAAAATCTACTGAGGACAGTCCTCACAGAGGCTCTCTATATTCATTAAAAGAAAATCCCACAAAAAGAACAATAAATAAATAGTTTAGGGAAGATTATATGTTAGCATTTTACACCGCTGCCATAAATTAGACAAGGACAACAACGACCAAAGTCGCCGATAATATCTGACGAGAAAACGTCCCCCAAACTAAACATCGATGCCAATAAACTAGCCAATGTCAAGCGAGATATCATCATGAAAAAAAAAGAATACCTGACATAGAACTGGAAAGCATCCACGGACACATCAAAAATAGATTAAATGTTAACATGAAAGGACTAAATGCCATCAACCCAGAGGAGATACACGCAGAGGAACAAATAGAAACCAGTTATAATAATCCCTCTGAGATACACAAGCAAATAATAATAAGATAATGACGGCTATAAGAGAGAAACAGAGGTGATAAAAAAAAAAAACAACCGATATAAATGGGGGAATATAAAGGAAATGTCTTTCGAGGAAAGGCCAACAATTCCAAAAGTAAGAAAGAACTGTCAAGTGAAGGAAACCATCAACCTCGCTAACCAAGCAATTAGAAAAATAAAGGACGAAATGGAAATACCGATGAACCTGACAGAAATTAATCATCTTATATACACAGCCTCAGCAATGATTGCGTAAACAATAGGGGGAAAAGTGAAAACACAACGTAAACGAAAAAGAAAAATACCAGTCCGGATTAAAAAAAAAAAAAAAGAAACCAAGCGGAGGAAGTTACAGGTCCATAGTCTGGGCCCAGCTCTAAGCAATGATTTAAATAAGAATTCTGTTAAAAATATTATCTGAAGACTTAAATGAAATAATGTGATGTGTTCATTATTATTATTATTATTATTATTATTATTATTATCAGCATTATTATTATTATTATTAGATAGATAAAGTCTCTAGAGATTATCCCAATTTTAGAGGCCTGTCTCAGTAATATACTCTATGTGTGTGTGTGTGTGTGTGTGTGTGTGTGTGTGTGTGTGTGTGTGTGTGTGTGTGTGTGTGTGTGTGCGCACGCGCGTGCGTACGTGAAGCTTAAAAGGTTTTGGGTCATGAAAACACTTTATTATACAAGAAAGCTAAACCTCTAATAAAAATTGAAAAATATCCCAGTTTGAGCCTTGGGAATTATAGTAAATCAAGATATTAAAAAAAAGTTTTGTAGGCGCAAAGTATTAACAAACACTCTGAATTATACAATGGTTAGAGAGGTTAATCCTTTCTGATACGCACGCGAAATTTCTTAAAAGAGAAATATTAGAAATGGGAAAAAATCGTTTTTTTTTGTGTGTCTTTTTTTCCTGAAGTTCCGTTGCGTTACTGTGAATTGGCTTAACCAAGAGAGGCGCCAGCAAACTAAACTGCTGACTGTATCAACCAAATGTCTTGTATTTATTCTAAATTAACTGGTTTTGAAACGCCGATTTATTTCAAGAAAGAAAGAAAAAAAGGAATAAAGAAAAAAGAGAGAGAAAAATTACAAATCATAAGTTTCGTGTTTATGAAAATCGAGCCGTCAGCGGCAAAATATTTTTATGGTAAAATGTACATTCATGGTACAAGTTTTCGACCCACTTCCCAAAATCTGAGCCACATTTTGTCACAGTAATTGAAAAATGTCTCTATATTTTAAAATGTCAAGCTGCAGAATTCTTGGTCTTTTTTCGTTCGATTTTTTCAAATAATTGACTGATTATGTCAACGAGTGATGAGAAATTTTCAAGTGCTGACCCCCAGGCAGTCATGAAATTCGTGTTATTGCACAAGAATATGAAACGTATGAGTGTCTAAGGCAAACATTGGGTGACAAGTGCCCATCATACTCAATTTTTGAAAGAAGTGTTGAACCAACTTCCACTGTGATGTTTTTGAGACCCACGACACAGCACAGTCTGGAAGGCATTCAACGGTGTCAAATTGTTTGATCATATTTATGACCTAAATCCGACTGATCAATGAATCTTGGTCAAAAGAATGACTGAGACACTGGAGATATCCAGGGAACGCGTTGGATTTATAATTCATGAACTGTTGTTTATGCAGAAGCTGTCAGCCAAGTGGGTGCCAAAATATTTGAATGTTGACCAAAAACGATATCGAGTAGACACGTCCGAATTGATTTTCTAGTATTTTCAAAGATCTAGTGATAATTTTTTGAAACAACTTGTCACTGTTGATAAAACATGGTTACATCAAGATGATTCAGAGATCAAACAACAGTCTATGTAGTGAAAGCTCGCACGTTCTCCATAACCAAAGAAATTCAAGGCACAGTAGTCAGAAGGAAAAGTCATAAGCGGGGATTTGGGGATAAGGATGTTTTTTTAAGAACTGACGAACTTCAGAATAGACAAAACGTTAATATAGAATATTAATACCGTTACTACTGAATGTTACTGCACTTGTAACGATTATACACGTGGCTGAATGGTTAAAACGTTCGAGTTCAAATCTCACCAAGGTCGATTTATCAGGAAAATGGCTTCTTGATCTTATCGGCCTGAGCAGGTGATCCAAGTGGCACCTAGAAGCTATTGACCGGGTTGACCCAAGCCTTGTGAGTGAAATTTGGTAATCGCAACTATTTGGAAGCACGAAATAAGTCATCGTGACGGAGGATTAGTGTGTACTCGCCTTGTCCAGACTGTTGATCACGCACGCCAGATAATGAGCTCTCTCCCAGAATTTTTAACTAATATCCACTCAGCATAGTTGTAGTATAAACCGCAGGTGGTTGAACAAACACAAATGTCATTGAGCAGGTATCTGCAATAGGGATTGGCTAGCCACCCTAGTAGACAGGCATACTCAGACACGAGCGGCTAGCCATTATGGTACCGATTAGAATAGTTGTTGAAAGATAAACGGCAACAGAAGAAATGGTGTACTCTTTTTGTAGCTCCATGCACCTGTTTGCAGGAGCGGCAAGACGATGGATGTTTTGAAAAATTGTGTGTACAGTGCATAGACTCTCTTCCCTACTCACCATATCTTAATTCCTTTGACCAGACTTAAAAAGAGTTTGAAAATGAAGCAATTTTAGAACGATTTAAAAGTGATTAGTAACAGGAGAACAGTATTTCGATAAACAAACATTATTTTTGGTTCTCAAAGTTTTAAAGAAATTTAAAATAATGATATGCCATATGTTTTGAACTGCGAGTTAAATATCTTTCATGGTTCAAGGTCTTTTCTTTTTGGTC